CGTCTGGCCCAGCGACACGCCCTGCATGGGGGCCAGCGTGATTGTCTGCGCCTGCGGGTTCTGCACCTGCAGGTTCTGCAGCTGGATGGTCTGCCAGCTCACCTGCCCGTTGGGACCCACCGTGGGCGTGCGGATGATGATGGGCCCGGAGTTGGGCACGGCTTGGAGCTGCAGGTTCTGCAAGGTGTCTTGGGAGATGGCTTGAGTGGCAAAGGTCTGGCCGGACAGCGGGGTGGTCTGGAGGGCTTGGATTGTCTGCCCTCCCTGGACCAGCTGCGGCTGGATCAGGATCTGCTGCTGCTGCTGCTGCTGCTGTGACTGCTGACTCTGATCGCCCTCCTTCTGCTGGCCCGGCTGCAGGGCCACCCCCGACACCGGGGTCTGCAGAGAGTCCGAGCTGGGGACGCTGCTGGCCCTCTGGGGGGTCTGCGCCTGCATGTTGGTGCCCACCGTGGCGCTGGTGGAGAAATTCATGACGCCCACGTTACTGGTGGTGGTGGTGGTGGAGTAGCTGTTGGCATTGGTGAAGAAGGCGCCCGAGCTGGCCTGGGACGTGGCCAAGGAGAAACGCTGGACTCGGCCCGGCCGGGCTGGGCGTGGTTGGTGTCAAATGGTGTTGGTGGCCGGGGTGGGGCTTGTGCTGGCCCTGGGGATGGAGACACTAAAGGCCTTTTTGGGGAGTTTAAGTCTTGGAAATAAAGGGAGGAGGTGGCAGTGGGGGCAAAGTGGAGAAGAAAGGGGACACTGGCTCTGTGCCACTGTCCTGCTCTGGAGGCCACCCAGGAGCCTCGGGTCAGGGCTGGGCTGAGGACCCGAGTGCAGCTCGGCTCCTTGGCTGAGCCTGCAAGGAGTCATGGCCGTAAAACACAGGGATTAACTGAAAAGCCCGAGAAAACAAACACAGTCACGGAGCTGCGGGGAATTTCCTCCCAGGGGCGGAAGAAAGGGCTCATTAAGTGTCTGGGTGCGGGACAGCGTGACCTCAGCGTGGCCCAGCCGGTCCCGTGGGCACGGGCACCCTGCTCGGATCCCCAGGGATCCACCCCACCGTGTCCCACGCCTGGGAAAAGCAGGATATGGAGTGTGGCAGCTGAGCTGGAGCCTGCTCGGCTGCTGCCGCGGAAGGGATCGGCTCTGGGAACGCTCTCCGCTTGCTTTTCCACTGTTTTCCTTGCGGGTTTTTTTCCGGGTTTTTTTTGTGTTCTGGCTCTGGCTAAAAGGGGCTGTTGCTGGATTTAGTCACAGTTGAGAGGCAGCAGAAAATGTTGCTCAATCCAGCCCGAGCTTCCCTCTCGCGAGAGGCGGCTGCTGCTCCCCCGGGCTTGTTTTGCAGCATTATTTTGGGCTGTTGCTACAGCAGCTTGGCTCGCAGGCAGGCCACGGGTCACTCTAGCCTGGGGATTAGCCTGATCCTTGGATTTCCCGGAGCGCAGGGACCCGCGGGGCTCCCACAGGCGGGGCTGGCACCGGGGGGACACGCGGGTGACCTGCAGGGTCCCCTCGGTGCCATCCCCGCCCCGGGGGCGGCTCCTGCCCGGCCGGGGCTCGTTCCTCCGTGCTCCCGGGCTCCTTCCTTGTTTTGAAGGCGCTGCAGAAAGGCATGGGCGAGCCCAGTTCCTGTATTCGTGCCTGGCTCTGCCCTCGGAGGAGGAACAGGGAGGAACGTTCTAGAGACCACCCATGCAACCGCCTCCTCCTCCTCCTCTTTCTCCTCCTCCTCCTTCTCTCCTTTTTTTTAGCTCAGCCGCTCTGAGCCCTTGATCTGCCGTGGAGAATTCCCCATGAGCAGCAGCAGCCGCAGCCGCAGCGGGGCCTCGTGGCTCTGTCCCCAGCCCCGAGTGACGCTGGCACTGTCGCTGTGACACGGGGACATTTTAAGGGAAAAGCCCGGGCAGGGTTCAGGGCGGTTGTTTGGGGAGCCCCAGCTCGGGGGGATGGTCCGGGAGGCTCCTGGGGTGAAATGGGGAGAGCTGAGGCCGGCACGGAGCTGCCTGGCGCCCGTCCAGGGACAGGGTTTGCCTCCAGCTTTCCCTGGCCGAGTCCCTCAGACGTGGCAGTGGGTCCCTTTGTCCCCCAGGCACCACCAGCCCCTCTCCAGGCCTGTGTCCCTCCGGATCCGAGCTCTGCCGTGGGAATGTGAGGGAGGGATTTGTTCCCAACGCTCCCCAATTCCCTGAGAGCTTTCCAAGCCTCCACGTGTGCTGGAATTTTCTGCTCCAGGCAAGGAGTTGGGGAGGGTTTTTGGAGCAGGAAAAGCTCCTCTGCTTCCGGGGGAGGCAGATGGAAAATGAGCGCTGGCTGGGGAGGGTACTGGGGCTGCTTTTCCTTGGGTTTGTGCTCCGGGGGAAGGAGGAGGTGCCCAGGCAGTGCCACCCGGGCTGGCAGCGCTGCGTGTCCTGCCCCTTCCAGAGGGTTCTGTGTCCCCTCCCGAGCCCCAGCGATGGGGGGCTGTGCCTCCCAGCCCCTTGGCTCTGTTGCCAATGAGGTTTTCTCCTGGTTTTTGACAGGGGAAAATCCCTCAGGGAGAAAGCAATACCTGAAAAGGTCTTTAAAACTCGGATTTTTTTCTTCCTGCGTGGAATGCAGAGCCCAGCTCTGTGCAGGTCTGACCCTGTGTTAATGGGGTGGCTCAGGGGCTGTTTCCTCCTCCTCCCTGGCCGGGCTGGGCAGGGGCAGAGGCAGGGGCAGGTCTGTGGCCCCAGGGGTGGCATGTGGGCAAACAGGCTCTGCTTCCACTGGCTGTGCCCCTGGGGAGGGCACCCAGAGCCAGGCAGGGGGGGTCCTCAGCCGGCAGCGCCCCAAAACCCTCCTGGGGTGGGATGGGGTCTGGGGCTCCGCCAGGGGCTGGGACACCTCAGAGGGGCCCAAGAGCCACCTCAGTGCCACCCCAGCCCGCCCAGGGAGGGGACATCCTGTGTGAGGGGGATGATGGTGGCGATTTTGTGACATCGCAGTTTCTCTTCCTCTTTTGCCCTAGGGAGGGGCTGTTCTGAGCTCGGTGTCCTTGTAGTGGCTCTGTCCCCATGTCCTTGTCCCTGGCAGAGCCCTGCTGTCCCCACGTCCTTGTCCCAGCCCTACCTGGCTGAGGAATGTGCTGTGTAAACAGGTGACCACCAGAGACGTCAGCACTGGAATTAAACACCCTTGTTTTGGGGGCACTCAAGGGATATCCCTCATTTCGGGATGTTTGATTCCAGGGCTGGAAAGAGCTGTTGGGTGGGGTTGGGATTTTCTGGGCAGCACGAGCTCCCTTCCAGCTCCTTGGGTGAGGATGTGGGGGAGCTGGGCCGTCAGGACCATCCCTGGTGGGCACAGGAGCCCTCGGCCACGTGTGCCACAATCCCCTCATGGCCCCCTGCTCCAGGGCCCTTCCCAGAGCCGGCCCGTGGCACAAAGCCCCCATTGTGTGCTGCGTGCTGGTTTTTAAGGGCAGCCTTGTGGCAGGGCCTGGGTGAGGCATCCCCATGGCACAGGGAGGGGAGAAGGGAGCCGAGCCTGCCGTGACGCGCGGCCCTTGTTTGTCTCACCGCAGCCGTGACATCACGGCACAAACCAGCGCATTGTGAAACTTCCTGCTCTGAATCCCGGCCAGGCTGGACTTTACATCCCCTCTGGCTTCCTGGGCTGACCGCCATCCGTGTCCTTCCCTGGGGGCTGACACGAACCCCCAGAGAGCCTTGGTTTGCCTGGGAGGAAGGGGAGCGCTCCCGGCAGAGCCTGCCTTGTGCCGGCTTTGTGTGGCTGAGGTTGTGCCCCACACACGGTCCCCATGGAGGGGGCAGCCTGTGGTGCTGGGCCCCATGGAGGGGACACCCTGTGGTGCTGGGCCCCATGGAGGGGGCAGTCTGTGGGTGCTGGGCGCCGTGGGGCAGCCCTGCTGCTGCTCCTTTCTCTGTCCCTGCTGCTGCTCCTTTCGCTGTCCCTGCTGCTGCTCCGGGCCCGGCTCGGCGGGGCTGGGAAGGGCCGGCGGCCGTGCCGGGCCGGTTGGACGGGTCGGGTGTGTGGCACCCACCCTGTGACTCCTCCCGGGACAGGTCCCGGCTCCAGGCCCGTCTGCCGGGCCCTGATCTGCCTTTTCCTTTTATCTGGGCCAGCCCCAGCCCTGCTGGAGCCCCGTCCTTATCGCCCCACGCAGGAGCCCCGTCCTGGCTCCCGCCTTCGGGGGAGTTTCCGCGTGGCTCCTCTCCAGAGCGTGGGCTCCCACCTCAGCCCGGCCGGCAGCCTCCAGACGGCTCCTCATCCCCTCCCACCCCGTCCCGGCAGGCCTGGGTCAGATCCTGGGGCTGATACAGGCGTCAGTTCCTCCTTGGGATCAAAAACTTGGGGTTTGTGGCTCAGGAACGCTCCCGCTCCTGGTTGCTGTGAGGGAGAGGCGCAGAGAGGCTCGGGTGAGGTGGGAGCCGCCTGCTGGGGTTCCCCACCTGGGGAATTACCTTTGCCTTGGAAATTATTGGAATTACCTTGGAAAAAGCCATGCATTTTCCTCCTGCCGCAGGGATTTCTGCCTGGCTGGCAGGGGTGCTGTGGTGGAGCTGCCTGTGCTGCAGGGTGAGCTGCTCTGGGTGCTTTCACCCCCGCCAAGGCAGGACTGGAGGCTTCATCCCAGTTTTGTGACCATTCAGGCGGGGATTTGAAGGGCACAGGGGCTCTGTCTGTCATCTGCAGCACAACAGAGGCGTTTGGCAAATCCCGGGGGATTCAGGGATCTGGCAAGGTGGATGATGAGGTGATTCCCTGCCTCAGCTCTGTCCCCGTTTACAGCCCACCTCCCTCACTCCATCGGCTCCATCCCAGTTTATCCCCGCTCCAAAGGACGGGTCGCTCATCCTGATGCACAGAAACCTCCAGCAATTACAGGAGCTGCCCAAGGAGTGGCCTCTGGAGTCATCAGAGTCCAAATTAAAGCCCAATTACTCACTGGGCTGCAGGCTTCCAGCCTGCCCCATCCCCTGGTTCCCTCTCCACGGCCCCGATCTCCAAGGAATTGCTGAGCCAGAGCTTGGCTCATTTACATGGATGAGCTCCTGGTGCAGATTAACTCGTTTGGCAAACCAGGGAGGGAATCAACCAAGGGGACATCGTTCCAAAGCCACTTTGTCCCTTTGTGCAGCTCTTTGGTGTGCCTGGAGCAGCTAGGGTTTGTTCTGGGCAAGGCAGTGACCCCACAAAACAGGCAGGGAATGGGGAGAACTCGAGTTGTGAGCTAGAAAATGTGGATTTTGGAGGTGTTTTCAGGAACACACCCGGAGAGGCTGGGGCTGTGTGTCCCAGGTTTTGCTTTTCTTTATTTTCACCCGAAAACTTCCTCGTGCCAGGAAGCCACGTCGTGCCTGGTGCCAGCTCTCCCCCCTCGCCCTCTGCCCAGGCACAGCTGCCAGAGGTGCAGAGTTTGCACAATCAGCCCTGGTCTGTTGGTTTTGGGTTTTATTTCCTGCTCTTCCCCTAAAAGTGAACACGGGGTCTGTTCCCCTGCCTGAGGCCGGCCGGGGTGGGTGTGAGAGCTGCTCCCTCCTCCCTGACGAGCATTTCTCACCTCCTGGTAGTTTGCTAAATAAAGCAAACAAGCCCCAGCTTTTTCCTGCACAAGGAGCACCTTGTCTGCAGAGAATCCCCCGGCCAAGATTCCGGGGTTTGGGGTTTTTTAGTGGGACACCAGAAACTGCCCCATTCCTGGTCGCTGCTGGAGCTGGGCCAGGGGCAGCTCCCCTCTCCTGCCTTCCCAAAATCCCTCTTTTTCCCCAGGCTTTTTCCAGGGATTAAACCTCCTCTTGCTCTATTAATAATGTATTTTTGAGGGCTTTGCTGACCCGAGTGTGGAGCCTCCGGGGAAGCTTTAGTCTTAGCAGGGATGTGCATTAGGGGGGATAATAAACGTGAATTATCCTCTCTGCCCGTTTTCCCCTGAACCTGTCGTATCCCAGGGATTTCAGAGCTCCTGCTTGGGGTGGGATGATCCCTGCAGGTCGGGGATCTGCTGCCCTGGGTTTATGCCTCACTGAGAGGCGGCCACAGATCTCCAGCAGCAGGATTTGAGTTTGTTCCCCCAGCGCCGAAAGGCCAGAAAACGCCATGTAGGCTTTTGCCTCTTGGAGGATTGAAGCCATTCCAAGGCATCCTGGCTGGGTTCTCCCCTTCCCTGCTGCATTTTTGGGGAAAGAACTTGTGTTTCTCCTGGTTTGGGATTTTTGTGGGGGAGAGAAGTTGTGGTGGTTTTTTTTTTTTCCTTTTATTTTTTCTCGCTTTTATTTTTTTTATTTCCCCAGCAGCTCTTCCCATCCGGGGAAGTCTCTAATCCGTGGCTGGAGCACAAAGCTGTCGGTGCTGGCTTAGGGAGCTTACAAAGCCCTCCCCGGCCGGCTGCGTGCAGGGCTGTGACTGCAGACACGTCACGGAGCTGCAGGGAGGGCCTGGGGAGTGTGGCACCGCGGGCCAGCCTTCAAACCGTGTCCCTTTGCAGGGGACATTTCCTCCCCAGCACTGCCGTGCTGCCGGGGCTGAGGGCAGAGCGCAGGGCTGGGTGAGGGGACGGTCCTGGGCATACCTGGGGTGTACGTGCCAGGTGGCATCCTGGCCGCTCCCGCCCTGTCCCCAGTGTGTGACAGCGCCGGGCTCTGCTCCTGGGGCTCTTTGGAGCTCTGGGTGTCCCTGGCAGGCCAGCTCTGCCTTTCCCAGGGAATCTGGATCCCTGTGGGCTGGGGGCAGCCAACCTCCCACTGCCTCTCCTCCCCGGTGATAGAGGAGCCTCGGGCTGTGCTGGGAAGCTTCAGCTTGGATCTTAGGGAAGATTTCTTCACTTTCCTGGTGGCTCCTGTCCCTCCTGAACCCCAGGGATGTGCCCTGGTGGCTCCTGAGCCCCAGGGATCTGCTCTGGTGGCCCCTGAACCCCAGGGATCTGCCCTGGTGGCTCCTCAGACCCAGGGATCTGCTCTGGTGGCTCCTGTCTGTCCCTGCTGAGCCCCAGGGATCTGCTCTGGTGGCTCCTGAGCCCCAGGGATCTGCTCTGATGGCTCCTGAATCCCAAGGATCTGCTCTGGTGGCTCCTGTCTGTCCCTGCTGAGCCCCAGGGATCCATTCTGGTGGCTCCTGAGCCCCACAGATCCGTTCTGTGGCCCCTGAGCCCCAGGGATCCGTTCTGTGGCCCCTGAGCCGCAGGGATCCATTCTGGTGCCTCCTGTCCCTCGTGGAGCTTTGCCCAAGCGCCACTGACGCCTGCTGGCACTGGCACCAGCAGGGACTGGGGAGGTTGCTCCTGCCAGGAATTCTTCCTCATTCCCAGCGCTGTCTCCGGGTTGTGAAACTCCCTCCTGGCACCTCCAGGCGTGCCCAGCCTGTGCCTCATGGGGCATTTGAAATTTGTCCTTCTCCAACCCCCCTGGCTCCTGCCTCGGAGCTCCTGTGGGGAAAACCGGGATGGTAAAGGAGATTTCCCTGCCTGGCCGAGGTGCTGCTCCCAGCAGGGCTGCCCAGAAGGATCGTGGGCTGGGGTTTGGGAGTGCCAGCTTTGGAAAGGGCAGCGAGTGACCAGCAGCCCCAGGACACCCCCACTGGCCTTCCTGCCGCCTCCTCCTCACTGCAGCTGCTGGAGACAGCACCAGGAAAAGCCCCAGATGGGATTTTTGGGAATAATTCCTGCCTGGAGCTTCATTTCCCGGCCTTGGGAGAGCAACCCTGGAATGAGATAAAACCCCAGGTGTGCTTGTCTCAAACCTGCCACGTTCAGTGACAGCATGCCCTTCCTGTGAGGAAATTGGGGTGAAAACGGTGGATTTGGGGCTGGAATCACAGCCCCTGGAAATAAATTAAAGACCTGGGCCAAAATGGGGGAAATGCAGAGTTCCAGGGGAAGCCAGGGAGAGCCCCAGGGCGGGGAATGTCAGGAAAGCCGAGGGAGAAGGATGGGATTCGCCTCTGGCAGAGGAGAGCCTGGTTCCAGGGAGGAGCTGCTGTAACGTGCCTGTCCCTTGCCTTGCAGGTGAGCACGGGGCCCAGCTGGGGCTGCACGGTGGCAGCGGGGACGGGCTGGGCGACGAGAGCACGGCCGTGGAGGAGGGCGAGACCAGCCCCGACCCCCAGCCCCAGCAGGGCCGCAAAACGCGGAGGGAAGCCTGCACCTGTCCCTACTGCAAGGAAGGAGAGGGCAGGTGAGGCCCTGCCACCAGGAGCGCCCCATCAGCCCCACAGGGCCTCGTTTTATGGGGTTATTTGGGTTGGGAAGGGTCCCTCAGATCGTCAGCTCCAGCTGTTCCCCCAGCCCTGGCAAGGCCACCCGTGTCCCCAAGTGCCACATGCACGTGGCCACCTGGGCTCCCCCAGGTCCTTTCCCAGCTTTCTGGCCCCAGTTCCCCGTGTCCCATGGGGCTGTTGTCAGCCAAGGACAGGACCTGGCTGTCCCCAAACCCATCAGTCCCACAGGTCCGATCCTAATCCAGCAGCTTCTCCCCGTATCCCCTGAAATTCCCCAGGTTTAACCTTTCCCTTCCCGCAGGAGCTCTGGGGATCCAGGCAAGAAGAAGCAGCACATCTGCCACGTGCCGGGCTGCGGGAAGGTGTACGGCAAGACGTCTCACCTGCGGGCGCACCTGCGGTGGCACACGGGGGAGAGGCCCTTCA